CCTTGCTCTCTCTCACCCACTCCCTCTGATAAAACACACTTCAATGTTGAGAGCTTTCCTATAGAGAGCCCCATGTGCAAAGACCCGAGGGCACTGCAGGAAGAACTGAATCCTGCCAACAACCACAAGAGCGAGCTTGGAGGTAGAGGTTGCCCCAGTCAAACCCTGAGATAAGCACAGCCCCAGAGGACACCTTGACTACAGCCTGGCAGAGATTCTGAGCCAAAGGACCCAGGTAAGCCATGACTGGATTTCTGACCCCACAGAAACTGAGATAATAAGAATTGTTGTTTTAAACTATTGTGTTTTGGGGCAGTTTGTTACACAGCAATAGATAACTAATACAGCTCTTTGTGAGAATTACCCAAGAAGGTGTTAAAAAAATGTACACACCATTACACACCCACTAAAATGGCTAAAATCAAAAAGACTGACAATACCAGTGTTGACAAGGACGTGAGACATTTGGGATGCTCACCAGCGCCGGTGGAAGGGAAAATGGCAAGTCACGTTGGAAAACTGGAAGTTTCTTAAAAGTTAAACATAAATCTATCCTATGACTCAGCAGTTCCACTCCCACGTATTTATCCAAGAGAAAGGAAAACATGAATCCGCAAGAAGACTTAGACATGGCTACTGAGAGCAATGTAACTCATCCCAGCCAAACACTGAAAGCAGCCCTGCCGTCCACCAATAGGACAATGAAGTCGGTTGGGGCATATTCTTATAATGGAATATTCATCAACCAACAAAAGGAATGAGTTTCAGGTACGCTTAGCAACAGAGATTAATTACCAAAACATGCTGACGAAAAGAAGGCAGCTGTCTACAAATACATACTGCCTGATTCCATTGACAGAGCTGGATCTCAGCCAGAGACAATTTGGCCCCTCAGGGGACATTTGCAGTGTCTGGAGACATTTTTGGTTGCCACAAATGGAGGCGGTGGAGCTGCTACTGACCACAGTCACCATGGGGGTTGGGAGCTGTTACTGGAGGCCAGGAATGCTGCTAAGCATGCCACAATGTCAACCCCTATCTCAGTTTGGACAGCTATAACAAATTACCATAAACTGGGTAACTTCAACAACAAATGTTTATTTCTCACAGTTCTAGAGGCTGGAAGTCCAAGGTTGAGGAGCTGGTGAATCTGGTGTCTGGGGAAAACCCACTTCCTGGTTTGCAGAGAGCCATTTTGTTGCATCCTCACATGGTGGAGAGCAGACAGCATCTCTCTCACATGTCTTCTTCAAGGGCACTAATCCCATTCACGAGGGCTTTACCCTCATGACCTGATCACCCCTCAAAGGCCCCACTTCCTAATATCATAGCATTAGGGGTGAAAATTCCAACATATGAATTTGAGGGCACACATTCAATCCCTAATTCCCCTACAACAAAGCATTATCAACCCAAAATGTCGTTAGGGCTGAAGTTGGGAAACCCTGATTTAGATGAAGTTCTATGACAGGTGGAACTCATCAGTGGTAATAGACTTCAGAACAGTGACTGCCTTTGGGGAGAATGAACTGGGAAGAGGCACGTGAGCGGTGTGGGTTACAGCCTGAGAGATACATATTTGTCAAAATTGATCAAGCTATAAACTTAAGATGTGTATATTTCACTGTATGCAAATTATATCACAATAAAAATAGAGATAAAGATAGATACATGTACACACACATGCACCTCTGAGTAACATGCTGAATTGGGCTTTCTGGGGTGGTTGAAGAATCTGTATGTTCAGCAAATTTGCTGAGAGATTCCTGCACACAACTGGCCCAGAACTTGGCTGTGGACCTGCATTTAGGATCCACTGGTCTCTAGACCAGTATTTCTCAAATTTTCTTTCCAAATAGCCTCAGAGGCAGAAGAAGGTGACACATACTCTAGGGAAGGGGAAGCAGTTGGGAGCAATTGGGGATCTTTCTCCAAATCTCCAATTCTATCTTACAGATTCATATGAGTCTTTGTATTTGATTCCGTATGATTGTTTTAGTATTAAAATGTTTTAAATTACTACCAGCAAGGAAAATTTTCCTTTATTTCATGACTTCTAGGTCTGGTACCACACTCCTTCCACTCCCACTCAAATACACACACACACACACACACACACACACACACACACACACACTCCCTAATGTCTGGACAAGCAGCATTAAGTCCGTTACATCAAGCTAGAAGAAACTGAGAGAAATCCTCATTTTGCTCATTTTGCCTCCAGGGAAGGACCAACTCCTGCAGGCTAAGTGGGAACAGCCTCACTATCCTTTGAAGATAGCTTAGAAGCTTATCAAAATTTCCCTTCCAACTGCAGAAAAAATTTTCCTGGAGAAAATGTGGGGCGCAGCTCTTAAGCAATCCAAAGGTTTGATCTCCTCTGCCCATTCCTTCTGTAGAGGAAGGCACACCCAACCGATTGTGTCCTCGCAGATACCGACAACTAACTGAACCTTCGTGGCTAGCCAGTCACTTATTAACAGACTTGTATTCATCAAGGAAGGTCAACTGCTAAACCTCAAGGCTGAACACAATAAAAGTTGATTTCTCACAGTCTGAAAAGGGCTGGTTATTTTCAAACTCAGGGTCCCAGCCTCTTCCACCTTGTGTCCAGCCTCTTCCACCTTGTGTCCCTGTTTACCTGTGCCCTGCACCGTTCAAATATAAACTCCCCAAATCCTCATAATAACCTTAGAGGAAGTACAAATATTGTCAACCCCATTTTACAGAGGAGGACACTGAGTCTGTAGAGCGCAGTTCTGTGCCAAAAGTCATGGCCCGCTAGGGGGCGGTAGAGGCTGCATTCAGACCCAGGCTGACTCGCCCCAGAATCCCCTGCGGAACCACCAGGCCTGGCTGCCTTCCCGCCACTTCAGCCACCACTTCCCATTTTTAGTGAGCCTTGACCACTCCTCCACGTTTCTGTGCCCCTAAGGCGGATGCCCAGGACGCCGCCTGGTCCCACCACCCACTACACTGCCCCTGCATGCCCTTCAGTCAGGGAAACGGGACTGTCAGTGCCAGTTCCCATACTTTGACGTGCATCAGCTTCATTTGGGGAATGAAGATTCCCAGGCCCCCCCAGAGGTTTGACTTGATGGGTTCTAGGTGGAGCCTAGGGACGCCTCACTTGGGAACACTCTGATTTGGGGGAGCCCCAAACATCCAGGTAGGGTAGACGTAGACACCCCCTCTTTCATGGTAAGCTGCTCACAGGCACGGCCTCCTGTCTCAGAGTCTGCTCAGCTCCCCAGCCCCCGCAACACTGATTTGCCTGGTAGGCCTCCGTCTCCTAGGAAGCTGCCAGTGCCAAGGCCCTCTACTTCTTGCTTGCTTCAAGAATTGTGAAGCCATGTGCCTTTGGGCAAATCCACAGTTATTTCTGGGAGTGGGAGAGTGGTGACACAGTTTAAGCTGCAAAGTGGAAATCCACCTTGAAGAGGAGGCTTGGCTTCCGGTCCAGGCGGCGGAGTGTTTCCATGGCGATCTTGCCCCTGTACCGTCTTTTGTTATCCCTTCCAACACCTCCTCTCCTGTTTGTTCCGAGTCTGTGCTCCCAATCTTTTCTCAAATCCGCCTCCCTCGGAGCTCACCTCCTCCTATTCTTTCTCCTTTTTCCTTGTGGTCGTTTTGAAATCTAAAACAGCCCGTTTGTGATTGGTCCAGGACACTCACTGCCTCCAGCCGGTACTTGATGTGACTTGATTGGAGATTTGTTGGTGGGTGAGCCCTGCTGGCAGCTGCCCCTCCCCACCTGGCCAGGATGAGACACAACGAGAATACCAGCCAGTCCTAATGTAAACCTTTTATCTGCTGTTTGTCATCATTCCATCATTCATTCGACAATGATTAAACCTCCCAACAATGGTCAGCTGCCCGAACAACACTGTCTGATCACTGTCCTTATGGAGTGGACATTTCCAGTGGGGTAGAGCGCAAGAAGCCAGGAGATCCCAAAAGCTGTTTCCCTTAGGAATAAGTGCTATCCAGACCAGGACACATGGTAATGAGGTCGGTTGCGGCGGGGGCGGGGTGGGGGGAGTTGTTTCTACTAAGAATTTGAGGGTCAGGGAAAGGTCCCTGAGCTAAAATTTGAAGAAAAAGAAAACCCATCATATGTAGCTTTACGATGTGTCAGATATAAGTCTAAGCATTTTACCCATTTGGTTTCATTTCAACTTCACAGCCTCGTGAGGAGGCATTATTGTCATCCTCACTTAGAGGAAGAAACTGAGGCACAGAAGGGTTAAGTCTGAAGTCACATGGTTAATAAGATGCAGAGCTGAGAATTGAACCCAGGCACACGACTGTGGAGCCCGCAGGCTTTTCAGCTTGGCCCCATCCTTCCCTTCCCGGGAAGACACAATAGTCTGTTGTCATTCCCAGGTCTTGGATAGATATAAGGAGAAGCCAGTGGGGCTGGAGGATGTCCCATCTCTACTCTCCCAGCCTAGCCATTCACTCCATCAACCATCATTCAACATTGAGAGCCCTTTATAGGATAAAAGGCATGGCCAACACTGATCGCTACCCCGATGCATAGTCTGTATGTGTGTTGGTTGCGCGAGTGGGGAGGAGGGGGGATTATTAGAGTAATAACTATGATGAAGAACAGTAAAACACCAGGCAGAGTCTGTAGGAGCAAACCAAGCTTTGCCTGGAGAAGGGGAGGGTGGTAGGCGCAGGAAGGGGAGAAGGGAGAGCTGTAGGAGGATTCATAGAGACACTGACTTTGGGTTGGGTGCCCCTGAAGTCTGACAGGTAGAGAAATTAGAGAGGGGCATTCTGCCAAGACGGCAGAAGGAAAGTTTGCACCGTGCCCAGAGTGCAGTCAGTCCGCGGGTGCAACACAGCTAAAACCCAGTGAGAGGAGGGGGGTGAATGTTGCTGCAATCTCAACATTTCTGGCGGAAACTGAATTTAAAAACAGAATTAAAAAAAAAGAAAAAAAGAAAAAACTCCATGGGACTGGAAACTGCAAAATGGCAAGATCCTACCTAGAGATTTCCTTCTTGTAGGTGGCCCCTGCATTATTTCAGCAGTCACATCACAAAGCCCTTTAGGCCACCATCTCTGTAAACTTTCTGTGTAACAGATGCTCTGCAATGCACAACACAAACTTTACTGTATTTAATCTTCACACAACTATAGATAAGTGCCTAATATTTTCTCTATTCTATATACCCTAATATTTACAAATAAAAAAATAACCTAATTATTTTTACTACAGAGGAAGAAACTGAGGCTCAGGGAGATTGAAACATATCCAAGGTCACACAGCTAATATATGAAAACATTGGGCTTTGAACCTATGTCCACCCCAAAGCCAGTGCTACTAACCTGTATACTACACTGTGTGTGGTTTCTTGGGGCTGTGTCTCTGGATACCAACCACACAGTTAAAAATGGAAAAGTTTGAATCATTGCTTTCGCTTCTCTGGCAGGTGCCACATCATTAGGCTGGCGGCCCCATCCACTCCCTCTTTCCTCCACCAGTGGTCTGGTTGTTTTCATGAACTGCCTGGATGTTTACGCATCAGCTTTGGTATTGTTCTCGGTTCTGAATCTGGGTTTGACATTCTTTGTGCAGGAAATGTGTTTCATTTGTGCCCTGAACAAAGGCAATGTCAAGACTATGTTGTAATCTCATCAACACTCATCATAAACTATGGTATTTTAAAAGGTCAGTAATCTGGGCTTGAACACAGCCTTTTCACTTCAGCCACCCTGCCCTTATTTTCCCATCTCCAGTGGCCACAACAAGGCTGTCAGCAATGTCTTTCACCTCAGAGCACAGTCCCCGTGTCTTCCAAAATTTGACTTTGCTTTCCAAAATTTCCACTTCTGCCCCCTCTCCTGTCCCACTGTACTGGTTTACTAGGGACTCACATTTTTCCTGTTAAACTGAGTCCATGTATTGAAGGATCTCAGCACTGCATAACTGAAAACTTCTGTCAGATAGGAACACAATTGTTTCATATTGGTTCATTTGAATCCTTTAGACATTTTTTTCTTAGTTTCTATTTTGTGTTTCTAATTTAATGTTCTTTTCCCAAGACAGTCATTTTTGTATTAAAGGCTGAAAAGTTTGTTTATATGTCAGTTTCCTTGGCATTGAAATTAGGGTGTTCTTTCAGAGCAGCTACAGGATTACTTGATTCTATGGTGCTCAGACAATTGATGAAACCATTAACTAGGGCAACTGCCATAACCGTTGTTGTGCCAATATATATTATAAATAATAAAGTGCAAAAATTTGAGTTTGTACCCATTTAAAAATTGATTAACATATATTCAAGGTTATCCTTATAATAAGACCTCTTTCACACTTTTGCATTCTGATAAGCTTTTCTTAGCAGAAGAGAAAGGAGATAAATCTACAGAACCATCAAACCCATATGAATATCACCCATTAGAGGTGATGCAGTGTAGAAAAAAAGTGCAGGGAACCGCTAATCTAAGACATCCATCCACTTATATGCAGATACTTGAAAAGCACATCAGTCTCTAACCCAGAAGTTTAAAAACAGCCGAGTTGTAAAGTACAACTTCAAAACCAAGACAGAGGCTGTTTTAACTAGATTCTCCTTATGTTTTGGTTTTAAGTCAAACCGCTCCACATTATATTGCTGTCAAACAGAAATCAGAACAGACTTGTTGCCTGCCAATCATCTGTTCACCCACCCTACACACCATGGGAGATACATGAGTAAGTGAGTAAGTCCCTGCCCTCAGAAAGTTTACCATCCCCTGGTAGAGACGAGATATTCCATAAAGGGGAAATACAAGGTGCTTATGCTACAATTCTCCTACCCTATGCTCATGGCAGATTCGGCTAATTGATTGAAGCATTCTTTCCTGCTGAGTTCAGACACAGGGTGTTTGTTCAGCTTCGGGCTCCAGGAAGCTACTATCCATTAATAGGAATTGATATGGAAGATGAAAGACATTTGCTATTCCTGATTCAAACTTATGAAAAGATAGATAAAAATAGAAGGCAGTCTTAAAAAGCTAAATACCTGGACTGTAGGCTACATAAGACCTAAGGAGGAACTCTTCATTGTTGATGTGATCAGAGATGGCTTCCTGGAGGAGGGGCTTCAATGCAGCATTCAGGGATGACTAACAATGAAAGAGAGAGAGAGAGGCTTCTGAAATAGGGAGGACAGCAGCAGTGTGCATCCAAAGGGGAGCATGCTTAGGACATGGTGAGTCAGCTGGAGAGGAAGGCTGGGGTTGGAGAAATGGAGTTGGAAAGCAATGGTGAGGCCAGGTCATAAAGGGCCTTGAATGCCAAGCAAAAGATCTTGAATTCTATCTTATAAACAATGGAGAACCTTCGACAGTTTGTGAGTAGGAGAATGACATGAGCAAAACTGTGTTTTCAGTAAATCAAACCAGCAGGTACATACAGGAGGGATGGACAGACGTGGAGGAAACTAAGTGAGAAAACCAGCCTGGAGACACAGGGACACAGTGAAGGTAACCCAGTTTGGGGGAACCGTGTGCTGGGGAAAGGGAGGAATCCAAAAGTGAGAGCTGCCTCAAGAAAAATACACTTCAACTATAACTTCTCAGGCCTCCCTTTCCAAAAAAGACACACGCACACGTATGTTTATTGCAGTGCTGTTCACAATAGCAAAGACTTGGAACCAACCCAAATACCCATGAATGATAGACTGAATAAAGAATATGTGGCACATGTACACCATGGAATACTATGCAGCCATAAAAAAGGAATGAGATCATGTCCTTTGCAGGGACATGGATGAAGCTGAGAACCATCATTCTCAGCAAACTAATACAACAAAAGAAAACCAAACACTGTATGTTCTCACCCATAAGTGGAAGTTGAACAATGAGAACACGTGGACACAGGGAGGGGAACACACCAGGGCCTGTTGGGGGTGGGGTGGTTGGGACAGCATTAGGAGAAATATCTAATGCAGATGATGGGTTGATGGGTGCAGCAAACCAC